GTTCAAATTCTGTGTTAATATTTTTTTTTGCCATGTTGGTGTGCTCACTACTGGGTCTTGAACTTTTCTGGAGTTATGAACAGTCAGTATCTTATCTGCAGCAGACAGCATGGCAGAGTGATCTCAGCTTGGAGAATCAAAGAAAAAAAGTCATGTTAATAGTTTTTCTGACTGAGGCTATTTTAGACAACTAAAYCTCCAGTCTCACACAACTAAACCTGCACACTCCTTTTGTTTTGTTTYATACCCGCTATTTACATAGATGTTTGTTGTCATTACACCAAACCRTGTGTTTGTTCGCAGTCTGTTGCAATAAGGTTTTAAGTTTCTAGTGTGTCATAAAACACAAAATAATACAAATCCAGGCAGAAAAACAAMTGTTGGAAAACGAATGCAGAAAAATAATCCTTTATTTCATRATCTGCAATATGTATTTACTTTTACAAAGCATTGCATTTGCATCAGATAGTTACAAATGAGTATATATGGTACTCAGCAGTTGAAMATAACAGAAAATTCACAACTCCCACAGAGCAGCTATTCTCAGGTGAAGACTACTTTTAGCTGAACACTACTTTGTTTCTGCCTGCACAGCCTTTTTCTGCTGCCATTTTTGCAAGAATTTTGAGAAGGGCGAGACGGCTCCTGTCAGGTTGAACAGTATCCCCCCAGCATGCTTTTCACTTGTTTCTTCAAATGTATCCTTTCAGCAAAATCCCTGTCTCTGTCTATGCAGGCCCTCTGAGGAAATAATGGTGCTTTCTGTCACGTAGCCGCTCAGAGGAGAAACAGAATCTGCCTGTTTCATCAGCATAATCACTCAGAGTGCCAGCTCTCAACTGACTCCAGGACAGTGACGTCACCCTTTCTCTCAGGACATCCCAGGATATCTCTGCGTCTACGTGTCAGACCTGTTGGTGCCTCGGGAGGTGATTGTTTTAATCCTATTGTGTACAGTCAAGAACTAGAGAACTTTCTGTATTTGAAGAGGGAGGTGGTTAATCAGGGGTTTATGTGCACTAATCAGGGTTCAGGGTACACCATCCTGCATTCATGGATAAAAAAGAGAAGGGCTGAGCAATGAAGTGCCCAGTTTGAAAAAAAAAAGAAGCCCTTTTGTTGTTTCATGACTCTTCAGTAGAGATTCTGGCATAACCAATGACAACAAAACATATAGCATTTGTCTCTTAACATACGTTCATATCTCTGCCCCATCTAATTGGAAACCATCTGCAGTAGTGGGCAGCACTAATCCAAAAACTAGCTCTGCAATTTCTAAAAAGCTTATGAAAATATTTAGGTCCGCAACTTCAAAAGCGCTTGTGCCATAGAAATCTAACRGAAGCTAATTTTAAAGCACAAGTTCAATTTGACACTTACTAGCTGGCAACAATTCATGTACAGTATATGCACAACACTACCAACTAGCGGTGCATGAACTCTTTTACAACTTAGTTCTACAATCGCCGATTGCTGGGGATGTGATTTCCTGAAACAGACCTTTAGCTCCTGGTGTAAAAATTTAAAAGTTCCTGAGGATTGCTAGTTCGGCTGATTCTTTAAAAAGTTGTTGAGGATTGCTAGTTCGGCTACTTCTTTGTCTTTTTCTTTTGTTTGATGTAGATTTTTCATTAAAGAAGCATCAAAAAGGAATTTTAAAACTGTTTATTGGAAAAATGAAGCGATGCATTCTGGGTACAGGACGGATTTGATTTGTGACCGGAAACAAAAGCACAGAGTACAGGAAACTATCTTCCCTTCAAAATAAGAGCTTGGATTTTAAAGTTTTCCATGTAGTTGCTCCAGTTGACCACTAGATGTCTGTCTTCGTCAGCATATCATCTTTGAATCATTTCTAACCCTGTTGGCCAATTGCTTCGACCATTTACGTCAAGTATTGAGCTCCAGCATTTAAACTTTATTTTTTTAAAAGGAGCTCTGATTGTAAAGTAAAATACAAAATTTTAATATGGATTACAAATGTTAACTGTTTTTACTGGGACAGGGAGTTCTAAACATTGCCTTCCTGCTACGTAARCAGACACAAAGCATTGTGGGAAATCAGAACCCTGATCAAAAACAACAGTCAGCAAGGATGTACAGTATAAGTTTCCAATAAGTGTGTTTATCTGGGAGGAGTGCTGTTGGATAGATCACGTGTTGTGATACATTGACAGCCATACCCTCCACTGTTCAAGATAATGATGACTGGTAAATAATTAGTTATTAGCGGTACTGCATTTTAATTTTAGAAAGCACACATCTGCTTGTGAATTATAAGCATTAGTAAAACAGCTAAAGAGCAAATGAAATATTTAGGTATGCAAATAGCGGATTTGCACTTTAGCGGGCTGGTGCCCACCACTGACCATCTGGTTCAGAAAGCAACAGTCATGGAGGCTCACATTAGTTTCAGCATTTCTTTTATTTTTTTCAATGTAACAAACAGTGCACAAATCCAGATTTTCAATTATTATATTTGTCAAGTCGCAACACTTTCCTTCAACTTGTAGAACATATTCTGACACTGAGCGCCAGAGCTTTAGGAACCAATGCGACAAAAGACCTTATTCATTGTCAAAGGGATTAAAATTGATTAGTTCAGTGTTGTGAAACCCTTCTCCTATGCAGAATAATAAGCTGCAGTAAGACTGCTATATGTTCTCAATCAAACAAGGACTTTCCTCAGTTAAAGCACACCACCAGATTCCTTTCTTTGGCACGACTTAGCCCATGAATGTAGCAGTATATCCATTGCCACATGTGCACTGCMGTGTGAGGCACGCTCCAGAGATGTTCTATAAATGATATATAAAGTTATTTGTTTTAGAAACTAGCACCATAACTAAGAACTGGAGAAACCTTGCGCCATTGTTAGATTGCCCTACAGAATGTGCCCCCAAGATCTCACAGGTGAAAAGTCAGTGACCAGGAAAACAAAGTGAAGCAAATCCTGGATTGGTGAACTGAGAGTGCTTTAATGCAGGTCAGGAGGAGGGCATTGTGTCAAAAAAGCCAATTGGCTCACACATACAAGTTGCAGAGACACAAACCTCACACCTGGTAGAATGTTTTGCTGCACCACCCTCCACCCCGCAGCACAGGCTGTGCTTTTTCCTCCATCCTTTTCAAGACATAAAACCTTTGTTTTTCTTCTGGATCCCGTTTTCTTTAGGATAAAAAAAAAAAAAACAATAGAGACCCTGGGATGGTCACTCTCAAAGTGACTTAAGATTTCCCCAGCTCTGCCTCTGTCATCAATGCATAATTTACTCTGGAAAGCAGCATAGGGGATCAATACAATGGCCCACAAAAGAATATAATGCAGTCATAAAGGTGCATGAAGCTTAAAGGGGCAATATCATGTATAATCAACATTTTTGAGTTTTA